GCACTGGAGGGAGATGCTAAGGACGCAGGAGAGGAGTCCTTGACCTCACGCTCCTCCTTCTGGGGGTGTCCCGGAAATGGGCTGCCTCCCTCGTGGGGGCCTAGCCCCCTCCTCACAGGACCAGCCCTGGCCTCTGGGGGCTGCACTCCTGGGTCCTGGAGCTGCGGGTGGTCCCAGATTCCTCCCTCCCTGGTGGGCTGTGTGGACTCCTTCCTTTTTCTGCTCTTCCTGCCTTCAATCCCGGGACATGAGTGCCGTCTGACCCCTGGGCGGAACCTGCCGCTCCGGCCACCCCAGGGCGACCACATTCCCCCAGGTCTAGCAGCCTGGTCCCGTGGACAACAGGGCCCCGAGGCAGGATGGGATCAGGCCGGACCCAGGGGCATGGGAGCCCCCATGAGACCCCCACCAGTCCCGGTCTGTCCCCACACCAGCAGCCTGCGTTAGACGGTCCCCGCACCCTGCTGCATATGTGTGCTTATATCCTCCTGCCTAAGGGGGGTGTCCAATGAAGGGGAAGGGCCGCCCTCTCTGCACCCTCCACTCAGCCCTCACCTGCATTGGGAAGTATTCTAGAATGTTCTAGGAACGCCAGCAGCACACATGTGTCTCAGAGCACACTCAGGAACCCAAGGCAGGGTGTGGGGGTGCCAACACCCCCTCTGCCTCCTGCCACACCCGCACTGACTTCCCAACTCCTGCCATGCTCCTCCTGATGGAGGTGGCTAAGGGTCCCACTGGCCAGGACTGGCCAGCAGCCACCTCACGGTCACTCCCTAATTCCATTTCCCAGGGACCCTGGACAGGAGATCCTGGGCACCAGGGGAAGTGACAGTGCAGGAATACCTGATTCATCACTGAGGAGGTGACACAGAAGGAGGAGGCCGGCGACAGGGCCCTCCACCCCCACCAGGTGTCCCCCTCGCTGGCTGTCACCTGCTGGGTGTGGCCCTCCCCTTCCTCAGTGCTGGGCCCCCAGAAATCAGCATGTCTGAGGCTCCCTGGGGTCCTGCACCCCATCTTCCCTGGTGGGTGAAGTGAGCCGTGAGCCCACACCCTGGGGCCTCTCCTCCCACAGCCCCATGTGACCTAGGCCCTGGGACGCCCCTCTGGGACTCTCCTGACTCAGCCCGAGTTGTACCCAGAGACCCACAGGGCTCCAGCTGGGTGCCTTACCCTGAGGATCCCACTGCCTCCCTGTGACCTCCCGGTCAAGACAGTGCACGGGGACTCTGGGAATCCCTCAGTCACATTTCCCCTTTCTTCTTGAGACAGATTTCCAGGGTCTTGAGGGGTAGGAGAGAGATGGAGGTGGCTTGAGCCGGACCTCGGAGAGCGGGAGCAGGGTCATCCCGAGACCCCGCCGCCGGGGCACGCCCTCCTCTCCTCGGCATTCGGGCTAGCCTCAGCACCCCCTGCTCTGTGTGAGCTCCAGGCTGGACAGTGGGTTCAGAGGCAAAGCGGCCTGTCCTCGCCCTCGTGGGGCTCCAGGTCTCAGGAGGGAGCCACATCTAAAAGCCAGAGATCAGTCATGTGGTGGGCACCTGCTTGGTGAGGGAGGCAGGTGCCAGGTGGGACGAAGGATGTGGCGGAGCCCTGGGAGGGGGACCAGGTGGGGAAGGGTGTCTCTGAGAAAGAGCATAGGTTGAGCGATGCGGACGGGCAGTGCCTGGCGTCCATTCTTGGTGAGGCGGGGGGCTGGCACAGTGGCCGAGGCCCGCTCCTGCAGGGCGACCGTGCCGTCTTCAGGCTGGTGCGGAGGGTGGACTGGACAGACAGGGGGCTGATGAGCAGGCTCCAGAGGCAGGCCAGGTGGGAGGCATGAGAGGCAGGGGGCAGGCTGCAGAGGGGGAGGGTGGGGCTCTAGAGGGGACACGGGTGATGCTCGGAGGCGGGAAGCCTGCAGAAGGCAGTTCCTACTGTCACCATGGAGGGGAGGGTGGGCAGAGCGGACCCCACTGCATGGCCTCATGCCCGTGGCAGAGGGGAAGGATGCACGGCTGAGGGTCAGAGGAGGACCAGAGGGTGTGCGGGGAGCCTGGGGGCTTCCCAGAGGTTGAGGGGCCGGCTCCTGGGAGCAGAACTGGGGGATGGTCTCCCCCAAGCTCCAGACCAGGGCATCAGTCGCTGACCCCCATCTCCCAGGCATCCCAAATCCTGGTGCGTCCCAGTCCCTTACCAGCTCCTCCCCAGCGATGGAAAGAGCCTGCTCCTCCCACCCAAGACCAGAGCCTGGAGGCCAGAGTGCTCCCCCCCCCGTGCCTCCCCCCCCCCCCTGCCCCCCCCCCCCCCCCCCCGGCCGCCCCCCCCCCCCCGCCCCCCCCCCGGCCGTGCTGCCCTCCCCCCATGGCTCCCCCCCCCCATGCTGCTCCCCCACCCCGCGTGCTGCCCCCCCGTGCTGCTCCCGCCGCGTGCTGCTCCCCCCCTGTGTGCTGCCCCCCACTTCGGGCCAACCCCTTCCGGGCTTGGGGAGCAGGCTGAGGAACATTCCACACCACCCTCAGCCCTCTCTCCACTGCCAGGCAGCAGCTGGGGTACATTTCCAGCTACAAATCAAGCCACGTCTGCCCCTCCCCACTCTCTGGGGCCTCGTGCCTCTGGCTGGGCGGCGGGGGCGGGGGGGGCGCTTACACAACACACATCTGTCTCTCCGGGTTCTGGAACTGGAAGTCTGAGATCACGGGGCCTCTCTCCTTGGATCACAGACGCTGCCACCGTGCGTGTCCCCCACAGCCTTCCTCTGTGTACACACAGGGAGAGAGGTCTCAGGTGTCTCCTCCTCTGGTTTGTTTTTGAGCTGGCTCCACGCCCAGCCTGTAGCCGGGGCAGGTCTTGAACCGAAGACCCGAGATGAGATCAAGAGTTGGACACTTAGCTGACTGAGCCGCCCAGGCCACCCTCCTCCTCCTCTTCGGGGCGGCAGCCCTGTGGGATCAGGGCCCCCGTATGATGTCATGTGGCCCTATCTACCTCCTAGAAGCCCTGTCTCCAGGTGCAGCCACATCAGGAGTCAGAACTTGCACGCGTGAATCTGGGGGCACACGATCCAGGGCGACCTCCCACCAAAAGGTGAGCTCCTGAGGACCAGGAGCTCCATCCCTTGTCACTGCTGCGTCCCCAGCGGCAGGCACACAGCGCAGGCCCCCTGGGACACATGAGGTGGGGGAAGCCTCGCATCGTGGAGAACTGGGGCTTGGGGTTCTCTGGGTGAACCCAGTGACGTCACAGCGTGTCAGCTTCAACAAGGGCGCACCAGGTGTGCACTCAGCCAAAACAGAACCACATCAGGCCCCCCAGCCATCAGCTAACCCTGTGGCTTGTCACACGGCCTCTGCCTCACTCTGTTCCGCTTATGACACGGGCAAGGAGTGTTAGTTCGTCGGACACCTAGGTCGTCGGGGCCGGGGTCCCCAGCAAGAAAACAGGGCACCGGGACAGCCGAGACAAAACCTTACGAGCATCCCGTTTACAGCTTAGACAAGACCACGGCAGCTTCCTGTCCAGCAGCCTCTGCAGGAGCGACATTTACAACACATCACGAAACAAGACTACTGACCATGAAACCTCGGTCGCTGTCACAGGTTGGGGCAGGTAGTCTCCCAGAGGTCAGCCCCCACGAGACCAGCAACACATGCACGATAACCTCATAGGTGGAGGGCGTGATCCAACCCTGACTGGCACACCTTAGCGGCCAGTCCTCAGGGGACCACTCTCAGGATGCTCAAGAGAGTTCCTCAAAAGAGCTTATAAAAACCCCTAGGGGCGGGGCGCCTGGGGGGCTCCGTCGTTGAGCGTCTGCCTTCAGCTCAGGTCATGATCCCAGGGTCCTGGGATCGAGTCCCACATCGGGTCCCTGCTCCTTGGGAGCCTGCTTCTCCCTCTGCTTCTCTCTCCCTCTGTCTCTCATGAATAAATAAATAAAATCTTAAAAAAAAAAAGAACCCTAGGGGCAGCTCGGGGGCTCCGTCGGTGAAGCGTCTGCCAACTGCCTTCAGCTCAGGTCGTGACCCCAGGATCTCCAGTGGTCCTGGGATGGGGTCGGGCTCCTCAGGGGAGCCTGCTTCTCCCTCTTCCGTCCCCCTGCTCATGCTCTCTCTCGCTTTCGCTCAAATAGATGAATGGGATCTTTGAAAAATTAAATAAATAAAACCCCTAAATCTGAAAGCCAAAATGGCAACCCTCTCGGGTCCCCTTCCTTTCCAGGAGCTTTGCACTATGTCAATAAACTCCACTTTGCCACTCTTCGTCTGGTCCACCTCTTCATTCTTCGAAGCGGCGTGACCACGAACCACGGGCACTAAGGGGACAAAGGTCCTGTAACACTAAGACTCCCGGTCATGGATTTCCCAGCTCCTAGCTGCACTCAAGGCACACACAGCCCCAATCCCCCAACACAGCCCAAACCCCATGCAAGCTGCCACCTACCGCCGCCCACGGTGCCCCCGGGAGCATTCCCACGCTGTCACAGGCAATCCCCCAACCTCATGGCGTGGGCACATGCCTGGGGGTCCGACTGCAGGGCGTGGACCAGTGTTCGCGTTCTTCAGGTAGAGTCACTGCACGGGGAACAAAGCGTTCTTTCTCAGGCGAATGCTGATCACCTGGGGGTAATTCTGGGAGGCCGATGTGCCAAAGGATCCCGACACCCACACACACAGGCCTCCACACGGTGCACACGCCCACAGCCCAGCCAGGAGGACCTATGATGTGCATTGAACAAATCCTGCCCCCGTGCCCTGTTTCCCTGCCTCCTGAAAAAAGTCAGGCATCCTTCCGCTGGGGGCGTGGGGAAGGCTCTGACCAAGGACTAACTTCCCCTTTCTGCTTTATTCTCCTCTACCTTGTATGGGGTTTTTTTTACAACAGTATCTTTCACTTTACAAGAAAAAGTCTGATGGAGAGATGCATTGACATTCATCGCTGGTGAGGGCTGGGCCGCCGGGCCAGCCCCAGGGAAACCCACGGGTTCCCCAGGAGGCAGCTCTGCCGGGCAGTCAGGGCGGTTGCTGTCTGCTGCACACCCGACTCCCCACCCCACTGGCCGGTCCCCCCGCCCCCCGTGCTCCAGCCCTCAGCCCTGGACTAGGAGTTCGGAAGCGAAGGAGTGCCAGCGCCGGCCCGGAGGGATGGCCTCTGGGGCCTGCACACCCGTGTTCCTGACGGCTGGAGGGAGGAAGCAGTGTCCCTCACAGACGAATGGACCAACGCGTGTGTTACCTGCACCACGGACTATCACTGAAGCTCTGACGCGCATTTCGTGGAGCATGGTTGACCTTGAGGATGCGGAGCTCCAGGAACTAAGCCAGTCCCAAGAGGACAAACTCCCTCTGAACCCACTTGCACGAGGGACCTAGAGTCGTCAAGTTCCTGGAGAGAGCAGGCGCCAGGGAGCAGGGAGGGCGGGGGGCCAGGGTTTCAAGCGGGCAGAGCGTCAGTCTGGGAAGATGGAACGTTCCGGAGATGGACGGCGGGACGGGTGCACCCCGGTGTGAGTGTGCTTCATGCCACTGAGCTGTGCACCCGCAGACGGCTAGCACAGTGAATCTCATTTATATTTCATGACAGTTTTTAAAAAATAGATCAAAAAAATTTTAAGAGAAAGCCGGAGGGAGCCTCGTGTTGATAGAACGTTCTCTATCCTGCCCACGTCGGTGTCAATATACCCGTAAGCCCCGTACCCTAGTTTTGCAAGACATCACCAGCAGGGAACACCGGGCAAAGGGCACGCGGGGTCTTTCTGTTTTATTCCTTACAATTCCATGTGAATGACACCAAAATAAAAACCTCACCTAAAAAATAAGAGCTGCATGCTGCTCAGGTGTTTTGCTCTTGTGCTTTGGGTATGTGGTTGGGCAACAAGTCCCACGCCCAAGGCCTCCGCGGGTCCTGTGCCTCAGAAGCACCGCCCCGCCCGTTGCCACACAGGAAACCCCTGAGGCCCCGGCTCTCCGCAAGGGCAAGGTTCCTGCCCATACTGGGAAGCTACGGTTTCTCTTCCAGGTTATTCCACAATCGTGTTTTCTCCCTGAATTGTAATAATGAGATAAAAAGTGTAGCTCTACTTTGCCTTTCTCTTTCGTTTAAATGAAGTCACTGGATGTCTTTTTACACAGAAACGCTTGAACACATGAAGTAAATGTTGGTGTGTGGCCGTGGCCCTAATGAGATGCCCCTTGCTTGCTCACGGGGCCGTCCAAGCAGCACTGAGGCCCCAACCTGGACAGGGGTGGGGGCCGGGGCTACTCATCACTCAGTACATGTCCTCAGGCCTGCGTCTCTGTGTCCCACCGAAGATACGATATTCAGGGTCCCCCTATACTGCTGCTTCGATAACCGGCAGATGACAGATGGGCTCCCCAGAATCATCAGCCCGCCTCCTGACCAACTGCCCAATTGATGAAGAAGCCCTGGGTTAGTCCCCTAGAGAGGCCTGGGCCAGGGGAGGAGGGGCCTTATCCCCAGTCCAGAGCCACCCGGCCTCCAGGAAGACATGCTCTGTTCAGCCCACGTTTATGAGGCACCTGCTGCGTGCCTGGGTGGCTCAGTTGGTTAGGCGACTGCCTTCAGCTCAGGTCATGATCCCGGACTCCTGGGATCGAGTCCCACATCGGGCTCCTGGCTCAGTGGGGAGCCTGCTTCTCCCTCTGGCCCTCCCCTCTCATGCTGTTTCTTTCGCTCTCTCTCTCTCTCTCTGTCTCTCAAATAAATAACAAAATCTTAAAAAAAAAAAGATATGAGGCACCTGCTGCATGCGGGGCTATGGGCACAGACATGGCTGTCCAGGCCGTCCTACCCACACAGGAAAGACATGCTGCTCGACAGGGTAACCAGAACGCTGAGTGTGAAGTTGGGGAGCACCCGGGGGCACCACTAATGGGGGGCAGCTCAGGACCCCACAGGCTGGAGCTGCACCTGTCAGGGAAGCAGCAGGAGTTTTGAGCAGGCCGGCTGCAGGCTGCTGTGGTCACTGCCCCAGCAGCGACCCATCCTCTCCGGGGATCGCTCCCTGGATGAGGTCACAGCGGGGCTCGTACTTCCCCAGAAGATAACTTCCCGTCTGGGTCAGCGTCTCCTCACCCCCTTTTCTGGAACCAACCAGAAGACCTGCCCAGGCCTGGGCATTCCCTCCTGGTCTGTCTCTCCTACGCCCCACTCCCAGGACTGGGGCGGACTTGGCGGGCGTCCTGAGGGACCCACCGCCTTCTCCTCCGCTAGGGGGACATCTCGAGCCTTCCCCCCCCCCC